ACTACGTAAAATCTAGTAAGAACTTTGTTTTTTTTTAAACGTTCATATTATTTTGTAGTTAACATAATTTTTTTCTTGATATAACTTGCAACACTTTTCTTGTAGACTCCTGTTGGGTAGTTGTGGCGTGTTGTATGTGACCAATTTTTTTTCTAGAATATTGGGGCCCAAACTTTTTAAAATTAGAACATATTTACAACTTCTATCACTACTACAATAACACGTCAATTGTATTGACGCCTTTTAAGAAGTTGCAATGTGTCAAAGTAAAAATTATGTGCAAATTTACTCATTCAAGGGGAAAAAATGAAGAAAACATGGGGCCCATCTGTTCCATAGTTTTCCCGTTCTTGGGGGGTTGGGGTTTGGTTTACGTGTAGGGTGTGGTCCATTTTTATATTATTTTTTTCTTTTGGTTTACGTGTGGAGTGTGGTCCATTTTTATATTATTTTTTTCTTTCTTTGGTAATTTCTCTCTTTTTTTCTCTTTCTTTTTGCATTTTGAATAGTGGGTACCGCACCCCCTCCCCACCTCACCAGGTGGGTATCGCACCTAGAGCTTCCCATCCCCCTCCCCCTCCCCCTCCCCCTCCCCTGCAATCTCAGGAGCTCCCAAAAAGAAAATAGCCTGATACCAATTATGGAGGCGGGCCCACGTTTTTTTCATTTTTTCCTCTTAAATGAGCAAATTGGCACATAATTTATCTTGACACATGGCACTTTCTTAAAATGCGTCAATACAACTGACTTGTTATAGTAGAAGTGAAAGAAGTTGTAAATTTGTTCTAATTTTAAAAAGTTTGGGCCCAAATGTCTTAGAAAAAAAAATTGATCGTGTTGTATGCTAGCCTTCATGGTGAAGCTTAACGATAAGATGCCAAAAATGTCGATACCATGCATTCAATTCAAAATTCATTTATAGTTTCTATATTGATAGTTCATTGATATCATCCTCACACGGCGTTCAAGTACATACAAAAGTGTGGCATTATCTTGCGTGTTAATTACTCATTTGTAGGGGATCAGGGATTTGATTGAACTTTCTTATATTGATGTAAGTTTTTTTTTTTGCAATGCATTTAATTGCTAACTAAATAATATATCATCTTTTTAAATATCATTCTTCTATTTTTTTTTATTTTCCTAAAATTAAGCGCCCAAGAGTATATGTGAACGAGTATGTATATGAAGTTTGCTACTGAAGACTACGTAGAGCACTTTTTGAATAGCGTCCATATTGTCGAGAAGATTAATGTATCTCTTGCTTTCACGAAATGGAAAGAAACTATAAGTTGTAGTTGTATTATATATCTAAATTTAATGCAACAATACAAGAGTCATTCGATTTATTTATCTACTTTTTTTTTCTCCTGTACCAGAGAGTGCTCATGGAAGAAATTCATACATCATCTGCAAATATGAACCCAAACAAGATGTATTATCATGAAGTACTGATTATTGGATACTCACGATGATACAAATAGTGATTTCATCATAATAAAGAATTCTTGGAGGGTCAATTGGGGTGACTCCGGCTATGCGAAGATAGCGTTGTAGTTTGGTGACCCCACTCTACTTTGTGAATTCGGGGAGTTATAACGTTTATGGATCGTTGTGAATCGAGAACATATCCCCAAGATGGACAGGTAAGCATCTCCTAGCTAGTTAGAGGGATGCAAATTTACAACATGTTGAATATATGAACTCTTGTTGTGAAAAAAATAAAGAGAATATATGAACTCTTTCATTATTGTTAAATAGAGGATATGTTAATCGAAATCTATCTTTTTACATTAGTCGTTCGAATCTGATTCATCTCGATCTCATCGATGATAATTCATGTGTCTCCTTTGCAACATGTGTACTCAAATACTAGCTCCACTCGTGACTCGATCGACCTTGAAGACCCAAATTATGTATTTGTTGGAAATAACAACATTTGTAGGATGTGATGGAATTGGTTATATCATGCCGAATGTCGTAATGCCCTTTCCGGACGATGCATCTCAACTTGTGAATAACAAATAAGTGGGCAACAGGACATCCAAAATAATGGTGAAACAATCATCGTACCCATAGTCAATTCTTGGTACACATTATCAGTGATGTTGTACGAGAACCATGTGAACTGTAAAAAAATATTAGCAAAAACAACAATATCAACAACATATGGACAATATGAATAATGTCAACCATGTTAGGAAATTTATGTACCTTGTTTGTGAACATTTGGTTAAGCATCACCTATTTATGTTCACTAAATGATTACCGGTGTGAACATGAGTCAAATGGTGAAACCAACTGTAATGTGTCACAAAGTACATATATATCAATTTAAGTGCAAAATTTGTAATCACATGGAATTATTTATAGTTTGAGTGTTACCCCCGCGCCATATGGAGGTATTGGAAATACATCATCCTCGTTTGATTTATGCACCGATATTGGATCGTGATCTTTAAATGGTATTGGTATAAGTGATATTGGGACAATCCTCGACCATGCCCACAATCATAGTAGTTGCACTGGACCTCCAATATTATCTCTACCTCGTCCTCGTTTTGTCGACTCACATAACTCATAATACAATATCACCAATGTGACCCTACCCCTACTATAACAACGAATTGCATCGAAATCGTCAAAATGCGTCAGGTACATCAAAGGTATAGGATTGACAATACTATCACGAATTATAATCCCACCAAATATCATAAATGTCAATGCCCTAGTATATTGAGTACATGCAAATCCAAACTATAATCAATGACATAGTTTTCAGCCAAGTGCTTTGTAAAGGCCAAAATTTTAACTCTCCTCCACTAAGGTCATTGGTTCAGGCAGGGCAAAAACCTAACAATGCTCCTTAATAGTCGATTCATGTGTTTATAAATATGCATCATCATGAACGATGACTGAGTCCCCATCTATAGGTAAGCCACACATTTTTTTTGGGATAGTATAGTAAAAGGCTCGCTTTTAGATACATAATTTTATTATTATAAAATAATATATTATCATTTTAAGAGAATCTGCGTTAAGGCATTTAATGCATGTAATTGATTGTTTGTCATTAATTGTAGAAGGTCCCGTTTGGTTGACAAGATCAGTCAATATTAATTAAATAGTAAGGTTTAGTTTGATGTTTGGTTAGCCCTATTATTTTCCTGATCGATCCGCCAAAATAATTTTGTCATGGCTTATCTTGACTAATTGGGAGATAACTGATTGGACATTGAGAGGTCCAATAAAATTATTGTGCTGTGATAAAATGTGTTAATCACAAAATTGTCCTTCTAATTTTCATCTCTTTATCACAATGACATATTCAATTATTATTTTTAAATAATTAATAAAACAAATAAATAAATAAAATCCAAAAAAAATATTTTAAAAATTATGTTTTTTTCAGAATTTTTTTGTTTCGAAAAATATTTTATTTTTTTGAAAAAAATAAAAAGTAAGTTTTCCGGAAAAAAATCAAAAAATATAAAAAATTAAAAAATATAATTTTTTTAAAAAAAAATATTTTTTTTTTCGAAAAAACGATTTTTTTTTAAACTTAAGAAATTGAAATATAATATTTTTTTTCCGAAAAACATAAAAAAAATGGATTTTTTTTTCGAAAAATAAAATAAATATCATAAAAACTTTTAAGAAAAAGAAATTCTTAAAAAAAATCGAAATGTTATTAAAAAAATTGAAACTAAAAAATTGAAAATTATTTTTTTTCCGGAAAAAATAAAAAAAAAAATCGAAAAATAAAAAGAATATCGGAAAAACTGAAGAAGACAAAAAAATTCGAAAAATTAAAAAAAATTGAAATAAATAAAAATAGGAAAATATAAATATTAAAAAGAAGAAAAAAAAACTATGTACAATAAGGAAGGGTAACTCGGTCATTTTCATGTAATTGGGTTGATGTTAAAGAAATCAAACATCAAACACTATAAATAACGGGGAGATAAAAAATTCAAAATTTGACAACAAACATCTTATAAAATAATAAGCATATTATTTTATAGGGAGAATTAATCGTGGCAATCAAACGAGGCATAAGTCTCATATTCTAATTGTATTTGAAATTTTGTACCTTACCTTGATGGGTACACATAAGACTATTTCAAAAGTTCGTTTAGGCCTGGCCTAGTTGCCAATATAAGATTAACCAACATATGATTAAATAATCTAATGAAACTCAATATATTATTGGACCTTAGATGTCCAATAAAAAACATGCCTAGAAGGCAAGATAAGCCATGATAACATAATATGTGCGGGTCGACTCGGCAAGTTATTGGGGAGACCAAACATCAAACAAAGTCCAACTATTTAGTTAATAATGACTAATCTCCTCAACCAAACGACACCTATAAAATACTATTGACAATCTAGATGGAATTGGACTAATTATCAGAAAAGATCGTAACATAATATTTAAGTATATTGAGAATATTTTTTTTTGTTATTGTTTTAACTTATTATACTAGTACACCCAAAATATGTTGGATATGACCAATTGAAATAATTATTTCATCAATATTTTAATAAAACTATATTATTTCACATTTTTATAATATTACTTACTCTCTTAATCTCTAGATAACTAAGGTATATATTTTATTGGTGATCTTTACTTTGATGTCACAATGTGAGAGGTTCCTACATTAAGTTACATGAGCGCCGGTGCATTTAGTTAGGAAGACTAAGGATTAATAGGTGGCAATTTTGAAGTTTTGTGACACTAAGAATTAATAGGTGGAAATAAAATATTTAGGCAAAGACACTAAAAATTGCCTACATATTTTATTGGTGATCTTGTAATAACCATTGATGAATAATGTTCTTAATTAGTTACTTTGGCTGCTTGAATTTCTATATCATCAACCATGATTTCTGTCGACAATGATCTTAAGCTTGCACACGAAAAACAAATCCGATTTCTTAAAAAACGACACTTCTTCGGCATGCCTATGAAAATTAACGAAATCAATCGTGTACATAAATTATCGAATCTCTTACAAATTCTATCGTCAGAGATGATTACGCGGAGTTTTTGTTTAATGAGCGGAGTTTCTATTGCACGGTAAAAGAGCTATCAACTTTTCTTTTTTACCTGAAAGCTACAACACACTGGAAAAAAAAAGGAATAAAACATGACTCGGTGAATTTAAGATGCGTATATAGGAGAATCGTCGAATTAATATTTACAACATTTACATAAAGCTAGGTTTCGTAATTAAAAATACATCAAAGTGTCAGTTAGTTTGACAAGCGGAATCATTGTCGTCTTCGATAATATTGAAGTACAATGAGGATATTTTGCCGTCGAATCTCGATACCAACTGATGAACGGACAATCCGCAATAACGCTTTCCAAGCCGCGCAATGCAAATCTCGATGATTTTCTTGAACATGTTGTCGCCTTGTATTAACGGCTGCTTCACAAACTCATCCAAAGGCATCCACTGTTTGATTCGGACACAAAACAACGTCAATCATATCACGTATATCTTGTAATAAGCATTAATTAATTAATTAATTAATTACCTTGGCTGCTTGAATTTCTATATCGTCGACCATGATTTGTGTCGACAAGGGTCTTAGCATGCACACGAAAAACAAATCCGATTTCTCAAACGACACTTCTTGGGCATGCCTAAGAAATTAATTAACGATATGATCAATCGTGTAACGCAGATCATTAAATCTCATACAAATTTTTATGCGGAGTTTGTATTTATACAGTTAACTGTTTTTTTTACCTGAAAGCTACAACTTCGACAAATTCAGTTTCAATCTGTAAAAGAAAACGAACGAAGAAACAATCCATCATAAGTATGATTATACACATTAAAAAATCAATTTGAGAAAATTGGAATGTTCGAGAGCAAAAATTCTAACGATCGAGCGCAAAATTTAAGTAATTACTTACCCCCGTTTCCTCTTTCACTTCTCTTACAGCTCCATTGTAGATTTCTTCCGACTGATCAGTAGAACAACATTATTATTATTATTTTTTTCGGGCAACATAAAATTTTATTTCATGAAAACAATAATAAAACATACTTCATGAATGAAACCAGTCGGAATTTTCCAGAGACCAAGAAGATCGGGAGTACAGTGTTTTTCTTGCACAACTAGCACCTGTATGAATTAAAAAAATGCAAATACTTCGACATAAATAATATCCGAAAACATTTTCAATATACCATAAGAAATGTTATATAGGACGATGATTCTAATTTTAGCAGTGGAAATTAAATTAAAAAAAAAAATACCTCGTCGTTATCATTGATCACAAACGAACCAACACCGACATGATGAGAGGCATTAGAAGGAAGCAAGCAAGGCCCGTCGGAAATCCAACGCGTCATCATTACATATGATTTCTCCGCGTGATGGTATTCAAATCCTTCCTACATATATTGTATATATATAGGAACAAATATTATTTTCTCATTTATTTATTTAATACAATTATGAAAAAAATTAAAAAGAAATAATTATTAGGATTTTGATGATTTCACCTTTACAGCAACAGGAACAAGATCTGATCTTTCTAGTGGCAGTTTGAGCCAAACTCCCTTCTTCCCCTGAATTTGATTTTTATACTATTAATTCTTTTTTACTTAAACAATAATTAAGAATGTAACCTTATATTATTTTTTTTAAAAAAATTTATAGCCAAATAAAACAGAGATATATGTCTATGATAAATTCATTTTTCTTGTAGAAACATAAAACTGGAATTATACTGATGTCGAATGATACGAACGCTGGGCCTCGTTTAAACTATGATCGGGCAATATTTGGTTTCCATCTTTCGGCCTCGTTTGACATGCTTAATTACCATTGATATAATAAAAAATAATCATGATAATAATTATACTAATGAATGCTAATTTTTCATCTGGTAGCATAGTTGAATTTACGGGCAATTTGCTTGATATTGGATCAACCTATAACGATGCTTCGTACGCTATAAATGGTACGACAAACGATAACCGTCTATTTCGTAACACTAATTAATGTACTATAAATCAGCAAAAATGTAAAAATAATTAGATACATACCTTGACTTTCCAATGGAACATAGACGAACGGAGTGCGGAGGCAAACACGTTGGGGTTCGACGGTAGTGTTTCGGGAATTACAACAACTCCTTCATACTCATCATCAATTGAATCAAGAACATTATTATTTACTAATTTATCGATAAACAAATTCGAACTCGATCCATTCGTGCCGTTGATTCGGTACGAATAAGTGTCCACGAGATCGTGTTTGCTAGCTGCTAAAGCACTTTTGCCATTTCTCAAGTGTGAATCCCTTCGAAAAATACCTTCAAAAAATTTTTAAATTTAAATTAACATGGGAAATTGGTAATACACAAAAAAGGCCAATAAATCTTCAAATTAATTTGAACTACTAGGAAATATTGTCTCAAATTAAATGATATGAAATGAAAATCTCATAAAACACATACATAATATAATTCTTACAATGAATCACAATCCCATTATTTTTTTTTCTAAGACCAAATAATAATAATTGAATTCTTGAAAAAGGGATTAATTACCTTTGAGTGAAAGTAGGTGTGTTGAGTATAGACAAGGGGGTTTTGATAATAGCATAGTGTCTGAACCAGAATATACTGATTTCGAGCCAAGCATTGTCATTTCCATTGAATGCTATAAAACTTAGATCAATCACAGATTCAACTAAGTTAATATAATTACATAAATAATAATAATATTTAATAATAAGATAGAAAGATTATTGAAAAGATAATGTAATGGGAATCCCTTGAAAACAAGAAAGTATTTCTTGAGATTCTTTAACATTTCTGAGAAAACTAAGAAAATATATCAGATATATGCTGTGAAATAAAACAATAAAGAAAGAAGAGAGGACATAAGGAAAGAGATACTAGAGGGCTGTTTGTTTTCTCTTGGTGTTCACCCAAAGACAAGGTAACGCATGTTGCTATATATTAATGTATTATTATTATTATTATTATTATTATTATTATTATTATTATTATTATTATTATTATTATTATTATTAGGACAAAATGCACTTCATCCAATATATTTTTTTGTTTTTGCATTTTTTCCCCTAAAAATTCAAAAGAGAGATACTCCCCTTTGAGATACTACTATTTTGGTTGCATTTTGGCTCAAAAGTCAATTTTTGGAGGGCATTGTGCAATAAAAATAACTTTTTAGAGGAGTAACCTGCAAAAAATTAGTGTTTTAAAGGGGTGACGTGTAACAAAAATAACATTTAAAGGGATAATTTGTAATAAAAATATTAAATTGAGATGAATAATCCATCGGATTTTTGCTATCTGGGCAATGTGCAACAAGAATAACGTTTAGAAGTAGAACATTCGCTTTGAAAATTTTTGAAGGGGCAAAGTGCGAATATTAGAAATTTACAGGGGGTGGTGTGCAATTTGCCCTTATTATTATGAGTTATTATTAATTAAGAAAGATAATGAAATATTCCGAATGTTAGATAATGGGAAATTTGGGGGAGATAAATTTGTGGTGCAAATGAAATGGGGGCCATGTTTTGGGAGAGAGAAAATATGGGACTATTAGTGAGAACCCCCTCTAACATTATTTTAATAAGGATGGGTCCAGGTCATTTTCCTTTATTAGTGAGAAACCCATTCTTTTCTTATTCTCAAATTTACCCTTCCACTATTCACTACCCATTATTCACTAGTTTGATGTATTTTTTTATTTTTTATATTTTAATTTTAATTTTCGTTTTTTTATTTATTTCTTCTTTAAAAAATAATATTTTAAAAAAAAAAAAAAACTTTTTTTTAATTTTTTTAATATTTTTCTGTAATATATTATTTTTCTATATTATTTTAATTTTCAGTTAAAACAACTATATGCCAATAAAACGACTGTTATTAAAACGACTATTATTAAAACGGCTATTATTAAAACAATTGGTATTAAAACAATAATACATCAGTTTCACAATTTATTAAATTAATTATATATTATATTATTTCCATTGTAAGATTAACTAATTATTTAATCAAAACATCTCCAAAATAACTATTTGTTAAATCAACTATTTATTCAAACCAACTAAAAGTAATGAAAATAATAATATTGTTGTGCAAAAACAACTATATTGCTATACGAAAACAACTATATTGAATCAACTACAAATTATTGAAATCCACAGAAGCAAACGCAAAAAAACACACCAAAATTCCAACTAAAACGACTATTATTGAAACCAACTACAACCGTAACGATAACAACTATATCTTTTTGAGTAACACGAACACAATTTCAACAAACGAGCCTTCCAAACAATACCTCCTCCTCGAGGTCAATCTATTCAATTACAACGGTGGTGGAGAGGGTCTTCCGACGAGGATTCCGGGAATGCTTCAAAAAATCGAAAGAACAAAAAAAAAAAAAAAAAATACCAGCGGATCTGCTCATCCCTCATAAAGGAAAAGGGTAGATCGGAAGGCTGCCGTCCGTCCTAGATTCGGGGGCGTCGCCTTGTCGTTGTCGAGATCTGGAGCAGGCTTCGTCCTCTCCTTGCCCCACATCCGTCGGATTCCCAATTCGAGAAAGAAGAGAAAGGGGTCTTCCTCGTCGTTGTTGAGATGTAGCGTCGCCTTCGTCACCTTCATCGCTGCCGCCATCGCAGCCGATACTACTGAGTTTCGGTTCCAGAAAAGAAGAGAAGACGTGATGAGGATTTGAAAACGGCGGTTTGTGGGGATTTGAGAACGATGGTGTATTGCAGATAATATGGCTAGGGTTTGTAAATATAAGATTTGGAGAATTAAGGATAATATAGGTATAACACTTAATAATTGTATTAATTTTAATTTAATTAAATAATTAAGGGGGTTCTCACTAATAATGAAAAGGAGGTTATATCCACCTTAATATAAGTAAATGAATTGGGGGGTTTTTACTAATTATCCCGAGAAAATATTGTACACATTGAAAAAGGAAAAAAAATATCTTCAATTTGATAAGCTATAATACGGCAACTAGTTATCGAAAAAATAAAAAAAATAAAAAAATAAGGCAACTAGTAAAACGCGAAACACGAGGGGGTAACAAAAAAAAATAGAATCAGAGGTACGGACAAAGATGGATAGAGATGTAGTGACGTGGATTGAGAGTTGTTGTTGGTATGACAATGTGTGTGAAATCAGCAACGTGTTCTTGGCGCGTGTCAAACACGGATTCATATGGGTTGACGTCTCTTCAATAATTAGACGGTGGAACAAATAGGAATTATTATCTTTAACTTATTCAATTAGATTTTTTTGTGTTTTTTTAGGGAAATTTACTTAGAATTTTGAGGTTTTTCTAGAAAATCCCCTTTGCCTAATCTCAAATACGGTTCAGTCCTCAATGTTTACTTTGGACATTGGACATTGCTCACCTATTTTTTAAGTTTCACTTACAGTTAGGTACATATCTATTCGAAATGTCGACAATGCTCTTCATTTAATGATTTTTGTATTTTTTTTCCTTTATCTTTTTAACTATACATATAACCAAACACCATATATTTCAACTTACATTTAATTATCCTATTATCCAAACACTACAAATCCTTAACTTTTTCCAAATTTCTCACACCTGTTTCTCGTTCTTCTTCTTCATTTTTTCTGTCACTATATTTTCTTCTCGATGTTTCTCCTTCTTACCTCTTCTTCTTCTTATGTTTTTTCTTCCAATTTTCTCAAACTTGCGTGGATTTAAAGGATCGTGGGTTCATATCAAACAATCAAGAATGTTCTGGAGTTACGCAAGAGGCACTTAGTCATCGAGGTTTATTGTCTCCAAGATAAAAGTAACGAACAAAGCATGTCAAGAAACAGATAGTCAAAAAAGTTGAGTGGTTCAATTTCTTTTTGTTTTTTATGCTTTGGGCCTATGGCTAATGTCCTCAGTACACCCAAAACGTACTCGGATGGAATGTCTATTACTTATAATGTGGATGTAATGTATTATGGGCGCATTGTATGGTTTGATATGTCTCACAAATTAGCGTTCCTAGGTCACCATTCACGTATCCTAAGTTTTGTTCTAATTTATAGGTTGTCTTGCACAAATGAACATGTTGCGCATCGCACCGTATTCAACTACTCACACACACATATTTATGTAGCAATCATTGTTTATTAGAAAAACCACAAACGTACATAAACAAATAACATAAAAAAATACAAAAGAAAAAATAATTAATCATATAGTGAGTTATCTAAATCCACAATATCACAGTCTGAAAACTCAGGCTTTTCCTCAGTCTCCTATTTAATGTCGTCTCTCTGAATGACCATTGACGGGCTATATCAACAAAATTGAAATCTAGATGCGTCTACTGGTGTAATGATCAAATCATTTTCTGGGTACGCATGTCGAGAAAAAAATATGAATGGGCTCTTAAATGTACGTGGAAATTGTTGTAAACGTATCAAATACACACATATACTTTTTGATTAATGACTCTAATATAGCGGTCTCAGATCTTATGTTGGTGTAATGACTCTAAAATCTTTGCGTACCCTATTATACAGTAAGCACTCTTATATAGCAGTCTCGTACCCTATTTAATAGTGCCTCTTCATATAACTAATGAATTGCATCTTTTCGTTTTAGACGTGTGCTGTTATTTTTCATATATGTCAAGAAAAATGTATACAACAACAAAGACAGACGTGTTTGGTCAAAGAAAAACATATACAACAATAAATAAAAATAGTTTCGAGTCCCACGCACATTTAAGAGCGCATGCATATACGAAGAGGCCGCAATATTAAATAGGAGACTGCTATTTAAGAGTATGTTTTTGTATCAATGGTCATCGTATTTATTTCTTCCTTCATTCATACACCCATAGAGTGGTTGGCTTAGATGAGATGGAGAAGCTATTGGCTTAGATGGATTTCTTACTTTGTCATGGTGATGTGACTCTGTCCAATACGACCTCGTTTGGGAAGATATTACAAGTCCTGATGGGGACGTAACACAATTTGTTCTAAACAAAACCAATCTCTACACTTTTTTCTTCCACAAAGAAAGAGGGAAGATAATTTGTTGGTTTTGTTTGTGGTGGGAAGATGAAGAGCAAGAGATTAATAAAGAACCCGAACACGAATCCCTGGAGGACGACTTTAATTTGTTGATTTTGTTACGGTAATACGTACATTTCAGTTACAACGGTCATACTTTAACTCGAATGCGTACATACTATATTCGCACTACGATCGTACGTTCACCTATATAGTCTCGCACATTAATGTTTTAATTAATTAAATTTTTAGATTTCGAAGGGATGATTAACCCCTCTAATATTAAACATGTTTGGAACATTTCTGGGATCAGTGGCAACTTAATTACGGCATTTGGAGCACAAGATTGTGCCAAAATGCATGTCCTACTCATATTGAGTAGAAAGTGTTGATGTAAGAGTGACATTGTAGATGAAAGTCTGCATATTTAGACCGATGATGCAAAACAATGTGCCCACTGTGAAGTTTTACTAATTAATATTAGGTTGCGGCTATATGCGATACTCATTCCACTTGTGCAAGACCAAATTAAAGAAAGATTCTAAAAGATTCTATTTTATTAAGATGAAATGAAGAATATACCCATAAATTAAATTGACTTTTTTTTTTCATGC